TACGGGTGGCGTTCCTTCCCCCCCCCCTAGCGCTCCAACAATACTGTGTAATGGCTAATATTTAATTAAATACGGAGCTTATGAAAGTGGCGAAGGCGTGGCTAGCCGTTGGCAGGGGCAACCGCCGTCCAATGAAACTGCAGCCCTTGGCGAAGGCGTGGCTAGCCGTTGCCAGGTCCAATGAAAGCTGCGAAGGCGTGGCTAGCCGTTGCCAGGGGCAACCGCCGTCCAATGAAAGTGCAGTCCACACACACACACACAGACACACAGACATGAACGATTTTATATATATAGACTAGCTGTACTACCCGGCTTCGCCCGGGACTTGTATCTACCACGGCCGGCCGCCTTTGTCTCCCCAGTGGCGATGTTAATACGCTACAGTAGTTAAGTTACTCGTTTGAGGCAGAGTCGACCTAGGGGAGGTTCAAATAATCGTCACCGGTGGTGGCCGTGAGCGGGAATCGAACTGGGTTTGCCGGGTTGGTAGCGCAGCGTAGCGTTAAGCACTACACCCACCGCTCCTCACACACCACACACGCACAGACACACACACAGACACACACACAGACACACGCAGACACACACAGACAGAAACACACACACAGACAGCACGCTAACCACTACACTACCGCTCCCCACACACCACACACGCACACACACAGACACACACACAGACACACACACAGACACACACACACAGACACACACACACAGGCAGCACGCTAAGCACTACACTACCGTTCCCCCTACACAACACACGCGCGCGCGTCCATAGGTACACATACACGCGCTTGCTGCAGACACACACGACTTTCAGGGTGCATACGGCAGTAAACGACTGAAATAATAAAGCGGCAATGCTGTGTAAGGAACGCCTTAGACCCGCATTATACATTTGTGTAATGCGAGCGTAAACACACAAACACACACAAACACATACACAATACACACACACATACATGCAGACACACAGACAGACACATAACACACATACATACACACACATACAAACACAGAAACACATACACACACATACATAGACACACACATACATACACACGAACACATCCACAGACGTACATACACACATACATACAGGCACGCAGACATACACATAAACACATACAAAAAAACCCACATACATACACACACACATACATACACACAAACACATGCACACACATACATACACACATGCATACAGACACACAGACATACACATAAACACATACACACATACACATGACCCGGCTTCGCCCGGGACTTTGATCCACCACGGCGGCAAAACCGACATACATACACACACAGACATACACACAAACACATACACACATACATACACACATGCATACAGACACACAGACATACACATAAACACATACACATGACCCGGCTTCGCCCGGGACTTGGATCCACCACGGCGGCAAAACCGACATACATACACACACAGACATACACACAAACACATACACACACATCCAAACACACATGCATACAGACACACAGACATACACATAAACACATACACATGACCCGGCTTCGCCCGGGACTTGGATCTACCACGCCCAGCCGCCTTTGTCTCCCAAGTGCCGATGTTAATACGCCACACCAGTTACTCGTTTGAGGCTGAGTGGACCTAGGGGAGGTTCAAATAATCGTCACCGGTGGTGGCCGTGAGCGGGAATGGAACTGGGTTCGCCGGGTTGGTAGCGCAGCGTAGCGTTAAGCACTACACCCACCGCTCCTCACACACCACACACGCACAGACACACACACAGACACACGCAGACACACACAGACAGACACAGACAGACACACACACACACAGACAGCACGCTAAGCACTACACTACCGCTCCCCACACACCACACACGCACACACACAGACACACACACAGACACACGCAGACACACACAGACAGACACAGACAGACACACACACACACAGACACAGACAGCACGCTAAGCACTACACTACCGTTCCCCCTACACAACACACGCGCGCGCGTCCATAGGTACACATACACGCGCTTGCTGCAGACACACACGACTTTCAGGGTGCCAAAGGCAGTAAACGACTGAAATAATAAAGCGGCAATGCTGTGCGAGGAACGCCTTAGACCAGCAACACATTTGTGTAATGCGAGCGTAAACACACAAACACATACAAACACATACACACACATACATACACACACATACACACAAACACATACACACAGACATACACATACACGCAAACACACACATACATGCACATAAACACATACACAATACACACACACATACATGCAGACACAGACAGACACATAACACACATACATACACACACATACATACACAGAAACACATACACACAAACACATGCACACACGTACATACACACATACATAGAGACACGCAGACATACACATAAAGACATAAAAAAACCCACATACATACACACACACATACACACAAACACATACATACACATACATACACACATACATAGAGACACACAGACATACACATAAACACAAACACACACACACATGACCCGGCTTTGCCGGGGACTTGGATCCACGATGCCCCGCCGCCTTTGTCTCCCCAGTGACGATGTTCACACACGACAGCAGTTACGCTTTTGAGGCTGAGTGGACCTAGGGGAGGGCCAGGTCCGTTTCAAATAATCGTCAGCGGTGGTGGGCGTGAGTTGGAATCGAACTGGGGTCGCTCAAGCAGCTTAATGACTGTTTGTACAAAGAACATATAAAGAATCGATTATAATAAGCAGGCAAGAGTCCACATTATAGACTGCCAGTACACGCACTCAGCTTCATAAGCAGGCTAGAGTGTACATGATAGAGTGGCAGTACGCTCACCGAGCTTAATAAGCAGGCTACAGTGTACATGATAGACTGGCAGTACGCTCACCCAGCTTAATGAGTATTTGTACAGTGAACATTAAAGTGATCGATTGTTGGCGCGTTGGGTTTAAAAGTAATATTAATAGCACACATTGTGGTGGGGGTGTAGTGAAGAGTAGGAAAAACTTTGATGAATTTACCTCAGAGTGGCGTGGTGGGTGTCGAGGCCTAGTAGCGTGCAAAGCCTGCGGCCTCGCCTAAAATTGTGGGCTTGGAAGAGGCAGGGTACGGGTGGCGTTCCTTCCCCCCCCCCTAGCGCTCCAACAATACTGTGTAATGGCTAATATTTAATTAAATACGGAGCTTATGAAAGTGGCGAAGGCGTGGCTAGCCGTTGGCAGGGGCAACCGCCGTCCAATGAAACTGCAGCCCTTGGCGAAGGCGTGGCTAGCCGTTGCCAGGTCCAATGAAAGCTGCGAAGGCGTGGCTAGCCGTTGCCAGGGGCAACCGCCGTCCAATGAAAGTGCAGTCCACACACACACACACAGACACACAGACATGAACGATTTTATATATATAGATTATCGCCTCCATATAATCGTTTTTCCCACACACCCCCTTGCGGGCAAGGCTAATGCAAACAGGCTATGACCATTGTCAAGATAAGGGCACGCCTGCTGACCGTGCCCGTGCACTTTTCTCCGCAGGAGTGGCAAAACTAACAGACTGCAGAGTTAACACGTAGGCTTTCGCGACCAATATTATTCATAATCAACGTTTTTGGGTTAGATCGCGTTATTTATAAATGTGTCGTAACCCTCCACCACCCGAAACGGCCAATCAGCAAAAAAAGTGTCACGTTGGCAAAAGACAAATAGTTCACTACTTTAGCCCACCGGTGTGTTGAAGAGTGAAACCACAACAATACAAAATTTTGAGTTGTACGACGTTTCGCTGGTAATTGCATCCAGCATCATCGGGCAATTGTAAATGTTGTGGTTTCACTCTTTAACACACCGGTGGGCTAAAGTAGTGAACTATTTGTCGTTTGTCAACGTGACACTTTTTTCCTAATTGGCCGTGTCGGGTGGTGGAGGGTTATGACACATTTATAAATAAATAACGCGATCTAACCCAAAAACGTTTATTATGAAGACTTCAGTGTCAGAATTTGAGAAATGGAAAAGTGTAAACCTATAGGAGGGTTGGGCATTAATAATAAAAAACGTGGTTAACCGATTTGAAGATTAGATAATTAAAGATCAATATGTGACATAACGCATCAGGATAAAGCAAGCAAATATCTATGGCCATTCTAACATGATTAAGCATATTTTCGGAAAGTGGAGATGTGTAACTCGCTCTAAATGCTCCTCCTGAAGCTATAAACAGAGGATGTATTGCAAGAATATTGGAAACGTATGAACACAAGTGAGGCCGGCTAGGAATATGAGCACTCATGACAACGAGTTGGGGGACATGAGCCAATATTTTAACTAAGGAGACAATTTTCACCGCAGCAAAGGAGGGATCGTAGGCTTGATCCGTCTAAATCATCCCATAGTCATAACAGGTTTAAATTACAGAGGTCACACGGCAAGGTGGAACATGGGGGGAGGTGTGTGTGTGAAGGCAAGGCAATGTAAACAACCCCGATTACAATTTAGCAGCATAAAAACACACACATACACGGTGGGATTTTTTTGACTAATGAACACTACCATTCACTTACTGTAGTCAAAATATCTCATTTATTAAAACAACTGTCTGTCACGAGTAAAGTAGAAACGTGATAACCAAGCAGACAACAATTCATGCCCTAACGTGAGATGCAGGGCTTGGGTAGCGGCGGTGCAGAGGTGCAGAGGACAACGCGATGATGAACCTACAAGATTGACGGACACACAACCCGTGAGCGCTTGACTTTACCACCGTAGGATGCGTGCTTGCGTTCTTGCGTGCCTGCGTGCCTGCGTGCCTGCATGCGTGCGTGCTTGCGTGCGTGCGTGCCTGCTTGCGTGCCTGCGTGCGTGCCTGCGTGCGTGCCTGCTTGCGTGCCTGCGTGCTTGCGTGCGTGCGTGCCTGCGTGCGTGCGTGCCTGCGTGCGCTGTCCGGCGCTGAAATGCCGGCAATGCGAGCGGTCCGTTACCTCTGGCTGTGCTGTGCCATCTCCAGCGCTCGTCGCGCGGTGACCGGAGACCCGCCGTCTGTGACGCTCAGCACCTCCATGGACTTTTGCTCGGGCCGCCACTTGCCGTGTCTGTTGAGCAGCGGCGAGTCGACGCGCTTCCGTGGCGGGTCCGCTGAGACGGCGCGCGGCAGCACAAGAGAAGGCTCCACCATATTACGTTCACTCTCGTAACTTCTTTTAAGCAAGAAGGATTCGTAATTCGTCGGGGTGCTTAAGTATCTCAATATCTCAAAATTACTTCGTTAAAAATATATATATCGTTTTCACTGTGGGGATTTTTTTGGGTTAATTTTTACCACTAGATTTTTCAGGCGGTGGCGGTGGCACACCGGTTAGCACATTGTGCTACGAAGCCAGTGATTAGAGTTTGATGCCCAGTCATGGCTAGCACTAGTGGCGAGTAATATCTGAACTGTTCCTTGCCCTCCGCCCCCCGTTCACCAATCTACACTGACCAGTGTGGTGAAGTATGGTTAAACGAACTCCATGATCACCAGTGTGGGAAGCAATGGATTGACAAAGGGCTGTTAATGATTATAATGAATACTATTTATATATATTTAATTTTTAAGCAATGCACACATAAACGTTAAGATGGCTATAATAAGCAAAGCTAGGCATGAAAATGTGAAAAGTTTCTGTAAATATATTTCCTGCCGGTATTTTCAAGTGTGAAACATTCAACTAAATGACACGTACAGAATGCATGCACACTTTAACGGCCAGACAAGGCACATATATGAAGTAGCAAAGGTCCATTAGCAGGAAGTCCTGGGACAGACCCATGTGTTGTGTATTAATGTACAGAACCAACCACATAGAAAATAGTTGTAAGACAGTGGCAGGCTATGGCTCTCATGTGGTGAGGCAGAAAATGCAGTAGATTCATTGAAAGATTGAAATGCACGCGAAAAGTGTGATGGTGATGATGATGAACAGTGCTGGACTCCCACAGACTAGTTCTCCTGGGAAGCTGCATCGGCTGTGTGCACCATGAAACCACTGCTGGAAAAAAGCACAGATGGTGGAGGGCGTTCTAGTTTCTCAATGGGTCTCTATGCGAGTCCATGGCTTTCGATGTATTCTAAGGGCCTCTCTGCGAGTCTGAGTCTTTCTGCGAATTCATGGGTCGGTCTCTCCATGAGAAGCTGCCACAGCATTCCAGACCGTCAGTTAATCTACTTCCATGCATTATCACCTGAGAATGGAATATCGGGGAGTGAGTTTTGTAAGATTCTTCAATCTGCAGCCACGGTACACCAACCGCTCAAAGAGTTCAAACGTATGTTCATGTTTGTCTTGCGAAGGCACCTCAATCTGCTCAATTAAAGCACGGTGGGCATTCGATATGAAGATTCTCATCCATGTAAGTGCATTTCCTACCGATCTCATTTCTGGGCGGGAGGTTTTCGTCCTCCTGGCTGGGGTATCGCTCTTTCCGGTCGAGCAGCAGGAAGTACACCATCTTCTCCTGGTTTTCCCTGCACAGGAGGAGCACAATAACACGCTACAAAGTGGTATCAAAGCAACACAAGACATGCTCGAGCAACTACAAAGGAGATGGCCAACATGAAACAAAGGAGAGTCAGATTCATGGATTGCAATGGAACCCGAATCGTGACAAACCATCTTAGAGCTGGGGGGTGGAACAGGTGGTGACTCACGACATGTCGAATAAGTCACCCGATACCGTATAGATACCAATATACATCTACAAAGCCACACATTTGGACTTTCAAAAAAGATTTTGGTGGCGAGATGTTAACTCCCTCGTCTGGTATACAGGAGGTTGTGGATTCGATCCAGACCCTGATGCCTGCTGTATACTTGGAGTTTGCATGTCTCTCTCCCTGTGGTGACGTGGATATTTCTCCGGGTCCTCTGGGTTTTCCATCCACATTTAGAGTATTTGGCTGCTATAATTGTCCACATGCTCAACCACGTCATTGGGCTATCATTTGTGATCAGGTCACTTCTGAAAAAGAGCTACATAGCTCAGTAGGCCTTACCTGGCAAAGTAAAAATTGTGTAGTTTGAACTTGTTCAATCGTATTGATTAAGCAAACATGTCTCGTACACCATTTTAACATTGTACAGTCTATAGGGAACATCAGTTCAGTTCATTTATTAGGTATAGCCCTGTGAGCCATTCGAATATCTTAAAGTGACTATGTGCAACAGAAAAATCCAGGAAAAAACAGCAAAGTCTTCCAGAAAATACACCGTAAATCAATGCTGTGTGCAAAATTGCCAGTGGGATGCAAGTCAAACAATAACAACCATAAGACAATTTAGATAAAATTTATCAGTCTAACTCTGTACTACAACACACATATATGGCTAAACCAAAACGTTTTCGAAATCACCAAAATAAAGCTATAAATGCTTTCCCACCTGATGATGGACGCTTGTGTTGCGCCCGAAACGTCGTGATTTATTTTATACCTACGTGACTTTACCGAAAGAACCAAAGAGTATAAAGCTATAAAAACAATGTAATAGTGATCATAGGAACTGTGATTCAAATTTAACAATAAACAATATACATAGCATGTACGACCAAACTTTGCAACCAAAGCTGGCAGCATGTGTCACTCCATAACAGCAGGAGTATCAGTAGGAGTATCAAATTTTTTCAATGCACCTTTAAAGATCAGCACACTATAATAAAAACTCAACATCATACTTTGCAGCGGTAATCCGGAGCGATACATTTGATTTCAGGCCACTGAATAGCAGTGGCAGCTAGGGGTGTAGAACTCCTCTCGAGCAGTTTTGAGTGAAGATCTCACAGGTAGTGATCCAAGTTGCAGTTTATTGGCGATAGCATTCCAGACCCTGGGGGCATCAATAGCAAAGGCCCTACCCTAACCCTAACATGCTATATGATATGTGTACGAAAAAATATGGAGTGGAGTGTCGGTGCAGTGGTCAGTGCACTGAGCTGTGCGCAATGAACCTGTCAATTTGGGTTTGATTCCCAGTCACAGCACTCATCAGTGATTTGTCTGAACTGGTTTACGAATACCCCCCTTTACCAACGTGCACTGATCAGCGTGGGGAAGTGTGGTCAAACAACCCCAATGACTGACACTGCATGGGGATGCCTTTATCCAGCAGCAAATTGACAAACATCTCTAAACGATTCGTATTATTAATATATAATGTTGTACAACGTGTCAATACGTACACACTCGGAATGCTAATGTGCTGATAAACATTTTTTCCCCGAACAAATAAACCGTGACAGAGTCAACTTTCACATCTATATTAAATTTCCAATTTTTCCGCTGAGCAGCTGATTGCTCAAATATACATACATATACATTCATATTGGTACTTGCTTTTTGCCAAAGCAAAGTCTTAAAGAGTATATGGAACTTAGAATTGTAAAACTGAGCAAATACGTGGTCCCCAGGATCTAATCAAATCAGGCTTATGACAAAGGATTCCACATCGAAAGGGATAACAATTTTAAAAAGGGTTTCAAGAGAGAAGAACCAACAGTGATTTTATGAACCAACAATGATTTTATGCCACTCAAGGAGTGTGTTTATTTTCTCTCTCCTTCATATACAATCACCAAACTTTCACAGCGGTTTGTTTTGCCACACTCCGTGTATTTTCATATTTTTTAATCCTATAATCTTTTTCTGTATCCCCAAAGCTCAGCTTCCTCTTGATCATCATCCTACTTTGCAGCAGATGTACAACTAAGAGGAAATTCCACGCGTAATATGTCAAATGTTGATCTTTAATCTATGCTAATCCAAATGCCTAAAACACACGTCACATCGCTCTGATTAATGGTCTGGGCCATCTGTTAAGTTCAGCAAAGCGGAATATTCTCGTGTCTGTGTCGATCTGCAACTAAGCATGTATTTCGCATACGTGCTTTGCCGTTACTCGAGAAGAAAATAACGAAATGTTTACGAAGTATGGGCACATTATTCAAGATAATAAACCTGGGTGGAGCAGTGGTGCTAACGCACCACACCATGAATGCGGTGACTCGCGTTCAACTCCCAGCCGTAGCTATCATCAGCGGCGAGCGATTTCTGAGCTGGTTGTTGCGGGTTGACCAATTCACAACCTCACACTCAGCACCGCGGTGAAGTATGGTCAAACGTGACCAACACGGTTGCAGGAGGGTGGTGGGGGAGGGAAGAGGGGGCGACCTTCATCCAGCAGATGGAATGACAAAGGGCTGTACATTATTGTTCAAACCAAATCAAATGACACCGCGATAAGACCGCAAGTCTCCTTTCAAAATGAAAAATTCGGTGTACAGTGACAGGTGAAGGCACAACCCTGCAATAGCTCGCTCACGCCACTGCTGGGAGAAGGGTCTCCAACAGAGGGCTCGCGACAGCCTCTATACAGATGATGTATCCTGAAGCAGGACAATCAGTGCTGGAAACAGTCGCATTTGCCCATGTGATTTGTAACTTTGATCATTACCCGTGTGTCGATAGTTCAATGTTAATGTGCCATTTTATTGAGGGGCTACTGTTTGGTGTTATCTTGGTGTGGTCTGGGATTGGTTTGTTGCTTTATCCTGTCTTGCCCAATGTTGATAAATTGGACCTATATACTTAATGTATTCTAGATTTGAAGCTTTCGTGACTGCAAGGATTCATACTCTTAGTTTTTTCGGTAAAGTCACGTAGGTAAAAAATGAAATTAAAGTTAATAAAAATTTTTATAAAATTTTTATTTTATTTTTATTAATTTTAATTAAATTTTTCACCTACATGTGGTGAGAGGTGGAGATGATTCGAGAAACTTGCCCAATATTTCAGAACTGCCGGGCCGGGGAGATCGACCTCGCGACCTCCCAATTGCAAGTCCAGCGTGCTAACCCTTCCATCCAGCAGGGCAGCATCCCGTTATGTCCAGCACGTATACAATAACATCATGCGTCCTCATACTGATATTTTTTATTTTCTTCATTCTGATGTGCGCTTGCTCCCCCCCGCAAGGGAACAGCAGATAAGGAGGTGATAGGCTGCTCACATCTGCTGGCATACATCTCCGCACACCCTAAGGCGCTACCTTTTATTACTTTCTCGCCTCACTCTCCCTCCACAGGACACAAATAATGAGCGATGATTTACAGCCATTAGCCGGCAGGGGGTTGTGGGAAGGATAATAGGGCCATGTGACCACCTGAGGTCTGATGCCTCTCTGTAGGGACCTCTCCGATAGAAAAAAAAAAACTGCTCTAGATTGGTGTTTATTTCAGCGGCCTTAGTCAGGTTTGAGCCCCTGGACATGCAGAAGTCAAGGTCACTAGACAAACATCCCTTCTGTAATGCACAAAGAGAGCAAACTCTTTTTGAATGTCTTTAAAAAGAGCAGCTGAACATGCATAACTCAGGTTTTCAGACGACGAATGTGCTGCACATTATCATGTAGAGCCTCCTAATGCCGTGGGGTGGTCTAAGACCATGATTCAGCATGCTGGTCATGGTGGGGAGCATGCCTGTTGGAGTACCGTACAGTGTAAACGATGGATGTTGCTACGCTGTTCGCTGATGCCAACGATATAATAAGGCTGCAGCGGCCTATACAAATCTTTCTTGTGCATGGTGCTCGCCCATCAAAGCACTAGCGAGGCTCAAGACCGCTTAGCTTTTGAGATATGAGCAAATAGGGAATAGTCTGCATGATTTGGTCATACATAGGGTTAATGGTGAAATATATTTTTAGCTTACGATTGTGAGAAAAGAAAGTGTGTCATTTTTGGCATTTTGCTCACAATAAAAAAGTACACACAATTTTTTATGGGATTCTGTAATATAAGATATTCTCTTCCACAAAATATATATTATTGTTAACACATATTCCTTTATTTCACATCGATGTGAAAAAATAAATACTATATTCTTCATGTTCACATACTTTAAGCGCTATGGAATATAACAAAAAACCCAGAAAAATAACTAACTGGAGGAATATTGCATAATTACTGTTTCTCAGATTATTACTAATTACACATTGAATGAATGAGGTCTTTTCTGCCAAGATGCAGTTACACACTTGTCAGTCGAGTAATATATTAACACAGCAGTCAACTTCACATTTGCCTCTGTGCTCAGTGCAGAGCACTAAAAAAATAAATGGCTGCGCCGATACGGCTGAATTATGAAATCATTTTACTCCCGTTGGTAATAGCTTGATGAGCTCAAACGAAAGAAAAAAAAGCAATCTTGCGTTGTTATTTTTTATGCAATACGCAAGCCAGTGTATATCAAAAGAAGTACTTACTGTGGATTTCTTTTTCCTAAAATTCAATATGATTCTTGCAAAAATTGAAATGCAAATATTTGGTTTGTAAGAACCCTTTTTTCCCTGTAGATAAAATAACTCGTATAGAAAAGGTAAAAGTCTGCCAGTGTGATTCTGAATTTATTTTTCCAGTGACCTTTCTTTCTGCAAGTTTACGCGTGTTCCCAGTCTCACATGTCTTTGTTTTCATAAATTTTACACAAAAAGAAACCAGGAAAAGATTTTTCACAATTTGGTTTTTTTCTCAGGATTATTTTCCTGGAATTCCTTTTTTTTTTCTTCACCAACGCTCATTATTTTTCATGTTGCATTTTAAAATACGGTGTAATGAAACATAGGTATTAGAGAGATTACTTGAAAACAAGTAGAGTATGTCTTCTATATAAACAATCGCATATTTGGTATTGGCAACAACACGTATAGTTCACGATCTATAATTATAATCAGTGAAGCTAAATGTAAACAGAACATATTTTTTGTACAAAATAATCAGTGAATCCCATGCCGCCCCAGATAATGTTATTGTTATTATTATATGCTGGCATTGTTGTGCACCTAGTTGATTAGCGCGCTTGGCTACGTACGGTGCAAAAGAAGTTCAACGTACATACACATATGGTGTCGTTTCCTCCCTCTCCTGTGACTTTAGCTCATCTCTACCATTTTTACCCTCCATGCGTTCATTTTCTTCCTTTGTCACCATACGTAGCCGACCGTACCAATGGAAGGTTCATTCAATTCAAATGTGAAGAAAAGAAGATGAACGCAACCTATACGAGTCCCCTCATAGTCATCCGAATGTACATGCAGTCATTGGTAAGGGTTCCACAAAGGGCTCTTGAGACGAGAGTTTCAGACACACATTCAAGCACTCGCATACACAGTATACCGTACAACGTTGCACTGGGCCCACCAATCAACCGGGCATTTTGCCCAGTAAAAGTCTTCCCCAACCACACCCCGTGGTAGTGTAGGCCTCAAACATGGCCCCTGAATGACACTGACAAATCAAACGGAGCGAAAACTGCAGTGCGCAGGGAGAGGTGCACGCTCGGAATTACGCCGAGAGACAGGCTGAAGAAGGCATGGATAGAGAACATGGCCAAGGTAGGAACGTAATAATGGCCGCTACAAAGAACAAGTGGGCTTTGGCAGGACATGTCTCAAGAAAGGATGGCGGCGAGTGGTCAAGACTAACAACGGAATGACAGCAAAAAACAAGTATAACCCGTAAAAACTAAGTTTTTCACTATAAATCCTTTATATGCGTGGCGGCTAGAGTCCTCTCGTCATCTGGCTTGAGATGGCTGCCACCTATGGGTCAGATGATAGCATTGCACCATTAAGCAATTGGTAATTAAATATAATATTTTTGTCCTAAAAAGTGTAAAATTTGGAGAAAAAAAATTCACGAACATTAATTGTCACGTACAACGAGTCTGTGTGGAAAATGTCAGCTCGATTGGATCACGGGAAATGGGTTAAAAAACGACCGAAAGATTTGCACGGTCGTAAGCAAGCAAGCGAACTTAATACAAAGGATTTAAAAACAACACTAACGAGAGGACCCCCACCTGAGAGATGGAGCAATGACGTCAGCACGAGCAGGTGCGAGACGGATTTCCAACATCACATGAGAAATAGCGATTGCGAGTGGATGCCTTCATCCAGCAGCGAATATATTTAAGGCCGATGATAAAGCAACTTTGAATTTGGGCCATCACATGAAGACAAAGACGCACGCACGCAGCTCAACTTAAAATGTGGACTTAAATCAAATCCTTAGATTTTTTTTCGGTAAAGTCACGTAGGTAAAAAATTAGAATTAATAAAAGTAAAATAAAATAAAATTAAAATCACGACGTTTCGGAGGCAACACAAGCTTCCGTCTTCAGGTGGAACCATCACAGCACGATAGCTGTATCAAGTGAGAGAAATTCCAAGAACACAGTCCTTTGTATATATACTGGTTGAGGGTGGGAGGAGCCAAGGTAGGCCCTGGATATTTTATTTTTTTGTGAGGTTCGGTGCGGCTGAAGCATAATATTCAGGGCCTACCTTGGCTCCTCCCACCCTCAACCAGTATATATACAAGGACTGTTTTCTTGGAATTTCTCTCACTTGATACAGCTATCGTGCTGTGATGGTTCCACCTGAAGACGGAAGCTTGTGTTGCCTCCGAAACGTCGTGATTTTTATTTTATTTTAATTTTAGTAATTAATTTTTTTACCTACGTGACTTGACCGAAAAAACCCCCAAAGAATATGAATCCTTGCAGTCACGAAAGCTTCAAATCTAGAATTAAATCAAATCCCTCGTTTTTGCAGGGACCCGGCCCAACCACGGCGCACACTCACTCTTCGGACAGCAAGTCCTGGATGAGTTTGCTCTTGTCTTGGAAGCAACCCAGAGAGTTCATGCTCTCCAGCACGTCGGGGTCAATGTCCTCCACGCCCTGGATGGGGTGCAGCGTCACTTTCCGTGGCACCGGCTGCTCTGGCTCCGGCTCGTTCTTCGCACCGCTGGAGGAATTTGAGGGAGAGGCGACAACGATTTAGCGGCAACGCGTAGCTCCCACCATCATATATTTGTGTGTATATACACTGTATCGTTGGCTATCCACTGCTGGATGAAGACCCCACTCCCCCCCCCCCCCCCCCACTTCCTCCATGCAGTGTCGAGAGGGAGGTTATTTGACTATACTTCAACACACTGATCTCAGTCAGTGTTAGTGAATGGTTAGTCCAGAATGGTGTCAAGTATTACTAGCTCCCAATGTTAACTGTGTCCCGGAATCGAACTCGACTTGTCGGGTTCATAGCACAGTGCGTTAACCACTGTGCCACCATTCTACTTAGCACCGTAACAGTAAATGCAAAAGCTTTCACTGTCACTGTTTTCACCTGATACACACATCCAGGGTACAACTTAATGGAGTATTTGAGCAAATATTACATTTTAGAATTGCAATACTCTCGTCTAACTTAATAAAACGGAATTAACCTTAATTTACAAACACGCATTTGTACGTTATTGACGAGTCATTATAATTCGTGTCAACAAAATGTGACGGCAGTGTCAATATTGTTGAGCGTTAGGTCACTTGACACCGAGCATGTGACACATGCACCAGGTCTGGCAGGCTGTCGGCCTACGGCGGAAGGGCATTCCCATTTGCACTGAGCTCGACTATCCAGAGAAGGTCTCAAGGTGGAGAGTCTCAAAATCCACCCCCCCCCCCCCATTCATAAGATGGAGCGCACCCGGCCATTAATATTCCACACTTGCAGGTGCTGCTCCATAAAAGCTGCTGAAGCATGCACGCGTTGCGGGGCTATAATTGGCATGTACCATCTGGCATCAATTGTAGGGAAGAAGTGGTGGTGGGGGTGGTGGGGTGGTGGGGTGCGTATCCCTCTCAAAATCTCATCTAGCCTCCCGTCACCCCCATACACACTGAGGAGTTCACCCCTTGACTCAGAACTATACACACTAATTGCCGTGTCCTAGAGCGGTCGGTGCAGAGAAGGACAGGGTGATACAGCCAGCACGTTGAGAGTGCAGCACTGTATCAAAGAGGGGGCTGACATTACTCAATTGTAGGAGTCGCGCGACTTTTCTGCTACAAATCATATCCGTGTCGCACATAATCCTCGCCCATTAGTCAACAACGTTTTATATAGACGTTTCATGCTATGGATTACTATTGAGTTATTGCCTGTTTGTTTCGTGGTCTTGAAAGCTTCGACAGATATGAACGTTTTGCTTTCATACCGCTTCCTTACGAAATGCTGCTTTGTTACAGAAAATGAAGCGCGACGCATATTTAAGAAGGGGACCGATATCAAAAGATTTGTTCATAGGGGAAATATTATTTTGTGGGGTGATATATTCTCTGACATTTGATCGGTGGCAATCTCAGTTCCACTGCAACGATACTCCCCAAGCCACCGAAATGTGAAAATATCCCTCTCCTCGCTCCCGCTCCTGCGCGTCGCCGCACGCGGAGCCTTCAAAGATTACGGCGTAAAATTAGTTTCCGTGCCCTACATTTTTTAATACGCGTGTGTGTGTGTAAAAAAATATCTTCCTGACATTTTATTAAAAAAGCATCAGTGGGTAGCAGTATCCATCAGCGAGTGGCATTTCATGCATTAGTAATCACCTGGTTTCATGTACGAGTTATTGTATTAGATAATAATTGTATTGAGAAATAAAAATGCCAATATAGCCAATGCTTTGCCCTATTTACTTCGCGAATTTCGCGCAGAACAGTGTTAACAATTTATCCACGTGTATCTTTAGCTTGTAGGTATTACTTAGGAACATTATTTCTATTGCCCGTTTGCGAAACGTATACACTCTCGCATCGATCAGATGTTTTTACAATGCAGCCTTCAGCCAACTTTTTAAGACACAGCACTGCCCATGTTTGTGATGCATGGTGATGATCACATAGGCGCTTCTCTCCCCTGGAGGAAGCGATCGGCTACAGGTCGTAGGGGCATGCCCTGATTACATCTGGCTTATTTCATTGATTTCGGAAACCTACCCATCTGGCATGTCGCTGTCAAGTTGTGCTGATGACAGAGCAGCCACTGTGAGGACACCTCAAGGCATATCAATGAGCCAGCAGAAATTCTGCAACTGTAAGATGTCGTGTTAAACCGCCTCTGTGTGTACAGAAATGTATATCCCCCGAGCTCACTTAATGTTGGATGAGGGCCTCCCTTCATGCCTTGCGGTTCGTGGTTGTTAGCCAGTTCGGGTTTGTGAAGGCAGGAAGCATAGAAGTACATTTGCAGCAATGGAATTTTCTGCACTGTCCTGTTACCAAACCGTGCGACACTGGAGCGCCGATAACATTGGGGGAAATGCTTCCGTACCTGCGGTATAATCTGTAGAGAAGAATACCTCAACCATTCTTATAACACAAGCTGCCCTCGTGTCATCTCTCTGACCATTTAAAAAAATTGCTGCTTAATTTTGTACGGTACCCTCCGGAAAACTGAATAAAAATTAAATTTTAAAATAACATTGTAATCCTGTACAATAATGGTTGTGGTTGTGCATTGCCACACACATACCGCTGTACCCAAGTAAAAAAAAAATCAAACATGCTACTGAGCAGATAGTTGTTAATTAAAAATTGATTCTTTGAATGGATTTCAAAGCAATCCACGCTTGCTTAATAGAAATTGTTACACCAGTAGCACACTACGTATGCTTGGCTATAAACTATAAGTGTAATGATGCAGCCGTTCGTCAATTAAAATAGATCCTTACACTGATGAGTCATGCATCGAATTGTGCATGCGAGATAGGAGCATTCTACAATTCATACAAACAATCTACGAACGTTCACTTTTAGGCTACTGAAATAGTTGTGGACAAAAACTGTACAAACGAGACGGAATAAACGACAATATCAATGAGATGGCGAAAACGAGACAAAAAAACACTAAACCGGTTCTTGAATAGAATGGTGCCCTCCCTGAATCTTGAGACTTCATTAAATCTCTGTAAGGGGTGAATCATTTACACTTGCATACAGTCGTGCTGCTGAATGGCCCTGTTCCAGACACCATGTGTGCATGGCCTGGCTATAAAACCACCCCGCTGTCAGCAAAACATATATGCTTCTGTTACGTCTCGCTTCCTAAATTAACGTCGTACGTAGATGAGCAGGCTTGTGACGATGCCTCACAGTTAGTCACAAGTGCACTGCGACAGCGAGGCCCGAAAGGTGCCGTCGTTCAAGTCAGCAGCATTCATCAGGAATTCAGACCATGGGGAAATATCACTACTCAATTCATGATTTCACATCTAAGAAAATGAGGCATTGTCACACCGATACACTCCGCAGCTCCGGACACAATTATCTGGCGCGACCACCTCAATGTAAAATTGCATTTATTGCCCGACATCAACATCGTCCACGCGAAGAAGATGCAGCAGAATCTGGGAATTGTCGGCGTGTGGTGGTCGGGCTGTTAGAGAGGCGAGCCACGGCCGACGTTGCCCACGGCGTGATCACAGCCGCGTCAGGAGACTCGGTGTAGGTGGCGCCAGCGTGCGTCTGACACACCTTACAATCCTTGAACATCATTACATGTTGGCTTTCCCACAGCGCATTGGATGAGGGTGGCTTAAATCTTTGTTTGAAGTCCAACAATTATGTACATCTCCGAGCACATGATCCAGGATTTCTATTTTTAATTCTATAACCATTGTCTGGAATGCTGACCGAATGCCATCTGCTGAAGCACCCGTGTTTCCATGGTGAAGAGATCCATCTGCTGGTCACCATAGAAACGGGTTCCTTACAGACAGCTGTCTTACCCACTGACGCAACGCGCACACACACACATGCTCATTACCAAATTCTAAATGAACGCTGAGGACACAGAGAAAACACGACGTATTGTAAATAGCAGTCGTTGCGCTATCGTCACACGCGATCACGTCTCTGTTTATGACAGTTTACCGTCGACTCTGATCAATTCTGCTTGTTCCGTGTCTTTAAATATCGGCCATGGGATTAAAGTGCAAATAGCGGAAATATGCCCTTTGATGATAGGGCACAGCAGGTTCATCTGCAAGTGGAGAAAACAATTGCATCTCAAATCTCTTTCCTTCCCCCCAAATATCAAGATTTTGTGTAATCGCGGAAGGATGGGCATTTATTGAAAAATAGCCATCATGTTCAAAGAAAATGTGTTCATCTCTGTCGCTCTCTGCTGCCTTGGCTCTCTGTCTCTCTCAGCACCAGGATATGGTTGTGTTGACAGTAACCAAGAAACATGTGGATGGCATGCACACGTAGAGGTTAACAGTAAATTTGATTATAGAAAATAAATGTTTTTGAAATACAAAAGGTGATGGATAAAAAGCACATGTGTTATAATATCCCTGCCATGGAAACCGCTTTTGTGAAAATCTCCGGTTATAAATAAACAGCTCGGCCTTTCCAATTCAACAAGTAAACAGATTCAATTATATATCCGACTGACCATCATCCTTTATCATTCCAAAATGATGAAAATATCTTTCTTGTAATTATATATAACAGCCTACAGAATTTCAACAGTTATATGAACGACTATTGCTGTAAATATAGAACCAGAAATTCGGGGAGACATTCATATTTTGTCTTCGTGTAAAAACTTTGTTAAAATGCAAGTTTATGCATGAACCATTAAAAAAAAATTTCAGTTGACTAATTTCACGTTTTATGGTACCAGTAACATCGCGTGATATCTGGCTGACCACTACGGCATGGGCACGTTGTAATGCAAGTCCGAATACTAATATTACCCCGAGCAATTTAAATGTTTATCCTCGCACTGTTTTGACTTTGCTACGCCCTAGGCCACACTTAAAGCAACACACAGAGACAATCGATCCAAATTTAATATAAACCGACTTCTAATATTGACTCCCCCATCCTTGTCAGAATATTTAATACCACTAGAAACGACAGGGAAATCATTTCCACGAGCAGATAATATCAGCTCATTGT